ACGAGATCCACCGACCATCGGCCAGCTTAGCACCGTACTTGTCATGATGACTTGTTTGGGGCGCATCTCTTGGTTGGGGTCAAGCTTTGGCTTTCTGTGGGTCGTGATAAGAGCCATGAAAGCACGAACACAGGCTAGGTCTCGCCACCCCGTGAGCTCGGAATAGCTCGAACCTATGCAGCCTTATCAGCGCGAGTTGTGAGAGCCGAGACCTTGGATCCCAGAGGCAGCCAGACCGGAAGCCATAAGCCCGACGAAGGCCGCGAAACTGCAAAGATCTCAGTGGCTGGGCTGCTTCCGCCAGGTGGAGGCGCGGTGCAGTGTTTCGGATGTTGCTTGCTTCTGACTGTGCGTGATCATTCTTCCCACGCAGCGTTTCGAACACATCGCCGTGATGTTGAAGAACATGAGGACGATGACAGTGGTGACCGCGATGATAGTTATGAGGATGTTGCAGAAGAAGAAGAAGATGCCGATGCTGCTGATGGCATGAACATGACGGTGATGGTAATGATGATGATAAAGAACCTACTTTAAGCCTTTAAGCCGGCCGCCGAGCCACTATGCCCGGCCCTGAAGCCATGTGTGCTGAACTCTCCCCTGCAGCCACTTTGGCTTAAGACGTCAGTGCTTTCTGAGTGCCCTTGGCGGTCTAGCTGCCATGGCAAAGATACTGTTGCTGTCGCTGTGTGTGGTATCGGCTTCGGCTGATCTTACGGGGGAGATTTCGAACTATACGGCTCAGCATGAACACGAGCAGGGCAAGAGTCCGTCTGGTCCGGAGTGTGGCCCGTCATTCTGTTTCGACAAGCAAACGGCAAATTGTTTCCAACAGCTGCCGGCCGACGTGTGCATGAAGGCAATTTACATGTGCGTGAAGTACATGTTTGCGGACACAAAGCCGCAAGAGTTTTGCGACAAGGAGAGGAAGAACGGGAATGGCGCAGCCGTTGACGCTCTCGCAACTTCGGAAGCGGAGCAAGGGGAGCCGCAGAAGATGCCGCAGATGCCCTTGCCGGAGGCCATCTGGCTTATGTTCCTAGTCGTGTTCACCGTGTGGGTCGTCGCAAAACACTTCCTCTCTCAGCCGAAGAAGGAGGAGGTCAGACCATTGAAAATGCCCCTGCTGTGTGAGGCAGTGTAGTGAAAAGTGTATAAAGACAAACTTGTGGGTTGCATCAACTCCGAGCCCTCGTGCGTGTCGTGCTGACACGAAAGCCTGCTAGACAAAAGGTTGATCGCACCAGCTACCACGTAACCCCCAAAGACAGCAGGGGTGCATGCTAGAGTGCTCGCCATAGACAAGAAAGCAGGCTTGAATTCGACGGGTTCATTGGCTCGGCAGCACCGCCCAGTTTAAACGGTGGAGCAGCCGATGTTAGTGGGTGCCAGATTTGCCACAAAAACCGCAAGCAGTTGGAGGAAATCAAAGCTGGCTGTACCGTCTCAGCTTGCGCATTCCGCATCTGGCACCCAAGATTCTGGACGCGAGCCTTGCGTTGTCAAGTTGCCAAGCAACATAACAGTGTTGCATAAACGGCAGCCGGACGAGATCCACCGACCATCGGCCAGAAGAGCACCGTACTTGTCATGATGACTTGTTTTGGGGCGCATCTCTTGGGTTGGGGTCAAGCTTTGTGTTTCTGTCAGTTGCTGAGCTGCTGCGGTTCGTGCATAAGAGCGATGAAAGCACGAACACAGGCTAAGTCTTGCCACTCCGTGAGCTCGGAATAGCTCTAACCTATGCAGCCTCGCCAGCGCGAGTTGTGAGAGCCGAGACCTCTGATCCCAGAGGCAGCCAGACCAGAAGCCATAAGCCCAACGAAGGCCGCCACACTTCAAAGCTGCCAGCGGCCGGGCTTCCGCCAGGTGGAGGTGCGGCACGGTGTTTCCCATGTTGTGCAGTTCTGAAGTACTGACGATAAGTTTTCAATCATCGCTCTTCTGACTATGGACTTATGACTATGGACGATGGCGCTGCAGATCAAGGTATGGTAATGGTGGTTGTGAAAAATACTTTGTGATCGGATGATGAGGCGCCCGCTGTCAGGAAGATGTTGCTGCTGGCATTGGCATCCTTTATGATGGTGACTGATGGCAGTGGTGACGATGACGTCGTGATCACCACTGCCATCGTACTGCAAAATCAGGTCAGTGACCTCACAGTCAGCCACGGCATCACTTTTTCATCATCCTCATTCCCGTCGTCGCCTTCATCCTCAGGCTCACTTGTGCCGCGTTTTGCCATCGCCATTCTCATGGCCGCCGGCATCACTCACGAGCATCATGGTTTTCATTCCTCATCACCAGTACTGTGAGGATCGTCATTCTCGCCCTCGCCGCCATCAGCATCATAAATCATCGCCGGTATCTTTATTCAACCTACTCGCAGCAGCTGAAGGCTTGGGCTTGGAGCCCCGCAGCCCTTCAACTCGGTAGCGAAGCTCATGGAGCTGCTGTTCCCGACCTTATAGCCATGCGATGCCTCATGTGCTGAACCCTTCCGCAGCCACTTTGGCTAAAAAGCCTTCGTGGTCCAGCCAGTCACTATGGTAAGGTGACCGTTGCTTTCGGTATGTGTGGTATCGGCCATGTCAGACCCCCGGGCAGAACTGATCAAATACACTTTCCAGAACGAAGAGGGCAAGAGTCCGTCTGGTCCGGAGTGTGGCTCATCGTTTTGTTTCGACACGCAAATGGCAAATTGTTTCCAAAAGCTGCCGGCCGACGTGTGCATGAAGGCAGTTTACATGTTCGTAAAGTACATGTTTGCGGACACAAAGCCACAAGAGCTCTGCGACAAGGAGCAGGGGAAAGCAAACGGCGCAGCCGTTGACGCGCTCGCAACTTCTGAAGCGGAGCAAGCGAAGCCGCAGAAGATGCCCTTGCCGGAGGCCATCTGGCTCATGTTCCAAGTCGTGTTCACCGTGTGGGTCGTCTCAAAACACTTCCTCTCTCAGCCGAAGAAGGGGGAGATCAGACCATTGAAAATGCCTCTGCTGTGTGATGCAGTGTAGTGCTCCTTACACTGCATCACACAGCAGAGGCATAAGTAAGTTGTGGGTTGCACTAACTCCGAGCCCTCGTGCGTGTCGTGCTGACACGAAAGCCTGCTAGACAAGAGTGCTCGCCATAGACAAGAAAGCAGGCTTGAATTCGACGGGTTCATTGGCTCGGCAGCACCGCCCAGTTTAAACGGTGGAGCAGCCGATGTCAGTGGGTGCCATCTTGCTCAGCGACCAAGGTAGTACTAGGACGAAATCAATCCAAGCTGGCTGGCCCGTTTCAACTTGTGCATTCAGCCTGTGGCACGCAAGATTCTACCAAGCAACAGAACTGTGGTGCATAAACGGCAGCCGGACGAGATCAACCGACCATCGCACACAATTGTAAAATTATTTTCGAGACGATGTCGTCCGGACCCATCTCTTAGCTCAGTGTCGGGCGGCTTGTCTTTGTCAATTGCTGTGGTTGGATGCGAGCACATGAGAGCCACGAAAGCACCAAAACAGACTCAGGCTTGCCAGCCTGTGAGCTCGAACCTCTGCAGCCTTAGCCCTCAAAAAAGCAAATCCCCCGGTTACGAGTATTTGGGGCGTTTAGGGTTCAGGGTTTAGGGTTCCGGGATGTGCTGCGAGAGGGAACTCGGCCGGGCGAGCTTCAATCAAGCCTGTGTAAAAAGGGTTCCGGGATGTTCCGGGTATTCAGGGTGCTCAGGGTATTCAGGCATGTTTAGGGTGGAGGGTTCACTGGGCCAGGTCACGCCTTGGGGACGCTGGCGCGAGGCTCTCTGGCTCTGAGCAGTAATTCCGCCAGCTGCAAAGCCGTTTTCTTTTGCAGGAATTACTGTAGGGGTGGTTTCCTTAAGCAAATAAATAAATAAAGATACATACATACATACATACATACATACATACATACATACATACATACAGATATATATATATATATATGTATATATATATATGTATATATATATATATATATGTATTCGCATATATCTTGTAATATTCATATCCCCGGAAGCCTATTCGCTTATTTAAAGGGCCTGTCGGTGCACAGCGTAAAGTGTGGAAACTCTTTTCCCCGGCACGAGGAAAATCCTCAAAGAGGGGCCTAAAGCGAAAGCATGTCCCAGGAGGCAGGTCAAGAAATCGATAAAAGAAGTGAGTCTTGCCTGTCTTGGCCCAGGCCTAGGCCTAGGCCTACGCCCAGCTTCAGACTGCAGTTCAAGACTACCCGAAAGCAACTGGTTGATCGTGGATGCTTCGTTGTTCGTTTAGGGGTGGGGGCAGGGCATTGGCCCTGAATATTCTGCCAAGGAAGCTTCACTGTTCGGGGGGCCAGGCAGTCTACAAGTGCAGGAATGTCAGTTGAGAAGCGGCGTATAGTGCTTGTGTTGCACAATGCTCGGTTGAAGGACAACAGTGACGTGCGAGCGAAGACGGGTGATGTGTTTCCGGGGCCGAAATCCTCGAGACAGTGTCGGCATCGATTTCGGTTGTGACTCAGCTACTGTAAGTGCCGGACCAACTATCAATGTTCTTCCTCAGGGTTCCGTGTTCTAAACATGCTACAGTATGCCCCAAAACCCTACTCTCATGATTCAGGCCCCTATGGTAGCCCGCACTGTTTACAGTCCTCTTGGCCCGAAAGACTTGTCGGAGCTATGGCTTCAGCAAAGCAGATGTCTCATGAAAGCTACCAGAAACCCAAAAGCCCTAAGCTAGAAAAGCTAGACCATTCAGAAGTATTGAAGTAGTTCCTTCCGATTCGTGTTGATTTCCAGGGTTGCAGGCGGTCTGCGGTGCCATGGACCTTGCAGCCGCCTCGCCGCGCCAGGTGCAAGTTCAGCTGCCTACTGCTGCTGCTGCTGTTGTTGTTGCTCTCAGTATGCTTGTGGCTGCGAGTGTGAGTGTGAGTCCGATGATGATCGTGAGTATCTGTGCGATTGACTGATTGCACTGCTCGTGTCAATGTCATGCTGCAACTAGTATTGCAGTCTCCCTTTGCATTGAAGCTTTCTATCACTGCGATTACCGCGGGAACCTGCCTTGTTGCTGGTGTAGTGAGAGAGTTTAGGACAGCTGTTGATCGGGTTTCATGAACGAATCCTTCGATTCCATCGAGTTTCGTGCGCTGAGCAAGGATCCGGAGTTACATAGAGCTTCGTTCTTCCGCCGAGAGATGGTCAGACGCTGTGCTTGTGCGACCGTGTCCAACCGATTCCACTGGCCTCCGCCGAAGGATGCGGACAGCTCGCCCCCACCTAGCTTTGCCAGCGCCGCGTCGGCTGCACAGGTTCCAAATACCCGTTTTCTTCTCAAGTTACGACCAATCGCCACCTCCTCCTTGAGACTCGTCACCAGGGGCAGGACTTAGGCGACTGCCGATAAGCGTCGAGCTTTCGCAACCGGGGGCCATGTGTGGATGTCACTGGATGTGTGGTAGGCAAGCAACCCTGAGGACAGTCCGACTCCCCCAGACAGAACCCCGAAACCCTCAACCCTAAACCCTCAACCCTAAACGAGTCGCGAGATGTGCTCGGTGCCACGTGCCAGTAACTTCGCCCTGGGCCTGTGCGAGTGTGAGTGCTGAAACCGAGTCGCGAGAGTCCAAACCCTAAACCCTACACCCTTCACTGTGCTATGATTGCTCTACTGTGCATCTGCCAGAGATCTGACGGTAAACGTCCCTTCTCGCAATGCGGGCCCCAAACCCTCAACCCTAAACCCTTGACCCCTAAACCCGTGACCCTTAAACCCTAACCCCTAAACCCTACACCCTTTTTACCCTCAACCCCAAGCCCTCAACCCTAAGCTGGTCCATCTCAGGCAGTGCTCCGACGGCTCTCTCACTTAGACTCTTGGGCCAGACCTTTACGGACTTCTCTGCGTTTCCTGTATCTTCTACTCGAACTCCGAGACAAGTGGTAGCATTTAGTACTAGAAACACTAGAACCGAGCATCTTCTGCCTAAATCACTGTAGCTATCTGCAATAGAACCCCTGACTCACAGCCTTGCTTCGCGTCCTTGTTACGATTCTGGAGTCTTCCGGCCTGGTGTTTTGGTATCTCGACGGTTCTTCTAGCCTCGTGAGAGAGCACAAGTGATGGATCATGGGCGGTACTGTGTTGGTTGGTAGCTTTTCCTCTCTTTGCTTTCGGATTGGTTTGCCGTGGGCAGCCTTGCAGTGCCGTTAATCGTCTGTTTTTTTGTCTTCACTGTTATCAGTGGTATAGAGAGTGCGAGGGCTGGGGTTATTGGTGTGCTGACAGAAGAAGATGGCGATAATGACTGCTGTGCTTCTTGTGGACTTGCCGGCTCTTCATCCGCACTTTCCTTGTTGTATATGTTTTACGATCGTGACGAACACGGCTTCTCATATGCTGGTTGTTTCTGTTGTTTTCTCTTATTCTACTTCCCGGGCCGCTGTTCATGCCATGTTTCTGTACTACTGCTCTTGCGTGTTTGCATGTGTTTGCTGGCTTTTCTGACACTCGCACTCACGAAACGGAACCTGGCGAGTTCAATAAAGCCCATATAAGCCTGAGCCTTGTCGCCGTGCTAGGCGGTCTAGGGTTTGTTTTGGCGGGTTTGGGGCGGCTCCTGGCAGGGTGTCTGGCCGCTGTGAGATGGCACTTCGTGCTCGGTGCGTCTGCGCATCTGTCGATTACTCGTTCTGTGCTTACTCATTGGAGAGTCCGTGTTGGTTCCTGACAGTGCGACTAGATCAGAAGGTGGGCTGGCGGCGAGAAACCTCAAGTAAAATAGCCTAAGCCTCAGGGATCTTGGAATCTTGGAGTGCATCATCCACCGTTCCTAGGAATCGAAGTTCTCCAACCAGATCGCCAGGGCACAGCAAGAGGCTGGTTCAACCGCGCAGTGTCAACAGATGACTTTTACAGGGGTCCTGGTTGATATTGTTATGTTTTCGGCTGATATGGGCGTCCGTAATTACTAGAATGTAACTACGCGCCTTGTGCGGGCTTAGTAGAGTAGGCAACCTTTAACTTTTAAGGGGTACCACGATCTCTTTATAATCCTTTATGCAACCCTAAACCCTAAACCCTTTAACCTATAGAGAAAGGTGGGAGGCAAAAAACATTTAGTTTCTCTATGAAGCTCTAAAACCCCTAAACCCTTCATGGTGAAGCAGACGTTAGTATCCTATTTAACCTCGCCCTTGAGCATAGTTCTCTGCCATGCGAGAGGGAAAAAACCCTGACCCCTAATACCTAAACCCAAAACGCTAAAACCTGACCCCGGGAAAAAGGGCTACTGCATTAAAAAAAAACCCTGACCCCTAAACGTACTAAGCCCTAAACTCTCGAGTGGAAAAGCGGAAAAACAGGCGGAGCGGCTCCGCGAGTCCACTTTGACCAGGGCAGTGGCGCTGGCTAAGGACTGGGCTTCTGGGCTTTTGTTTAGGGTTTAAAGTTTAGCTGTCCTCGGCGGTTTCGGGGGTTTTGGTGGTTTAAGACGCTAACTGAGGTTGTAGTTAGCGAAGGTTAGGGGTTTAGGCGCGACGGAAGCGCAGTCATGAGAGCTGAACTTCTGTAGGCTCAGACATTCAGGCG